CCGCAAGGCGGCGCGGCCCTTCACTAGGGCGTCCGCGCGAAGCCCGCCGCGCGCAAGGCCATCCCCCGTGACCAACTGGCAGAGGCGCAGAGCCCTACTCCAGCCCATCGGCAGCACTGTCAAGACCGGCGCAAGCGAGGCTGCCGCCGCGGGGCGCCCCCCGCCCACCAGCGGCCGCCCGACAAGCCCGGCCCGGCCAGGTGGCGGGCAAAAGCAGGACCCGAGCTCAGGCGGCACGGAGATGGCGTAGAACGCATTCTGCACATCGCCCACGGAGTACCAGACCACATCGCACCCGCTGGTCTCCATCCTCGCGAAAGCCGAGGCGGATGGCAAGTGCGTGGGCGGCGGCGGCTCGAAGTCGCAGTTGTCGAGGATGATCCGCTGCTGCCCTGACGTCTTTTTGACAAAGAAGAGCCCGACGGCGGCCTCGGCCTGGGCAGGCACAAGGCGGGCCACTCCGCGCTCCAGCACCCCCTGAACAAAGTCGGCGTAGACGCGCTGGTGGCGGAAGGCGGGGCCCACATAAGGATGATGGAGTCCGAGCTCAGACCGAAGGGCCGCCGCTGCAGCAGGAGGTCGTCGCATCTTGGCCGCCAAGTCCCTCAGCCAGGAAGTGCGCTCGGACGAGAGAGCGCCAGCCTGATTAATTGGGGCGGCCCCCACGGCCGGCCAGGACACAAGGTCCTTGCTGTAGGGTACGACGGCGGTTGAAGTCTCGCTGCACATCACAGCGGATCCGCAGAGCTCACGAATGCCCCCGCGGGGGTGATCATCAGCTGGGCGGGCCCCAGCGGCAAAGTAGCTGCGCTCTGAGTGCTCGAGGCAGGACTGCTGCATAACCGAGGGCGGCCCAGCCGCGGCGTCACCACGACCAGAAAGGAAGTTGAGAGAGCGGATGCCATCGTTCGCCCACTCGAGCGCGTGAAGACGTCGGAGAGCGCGGCGCTCGACTGCTCGAGAGCGGCCACCGCCGCGCTGAGGAAGCTGAAGGGCGGGGAGCGGGAACACGTCGCGCTGGCGACTCATCCCGCAGCAGCCGGAAAGAGAAAACCTGCGAGCCCGGGGCCAATGGGCGACAGGCAGCGGAGTCCGTGAGTGAGCGGCCGAAGGCTACTCGCCCTCATTGCCGCCCTTGGCCCCTTTCTTTGGACGGGCCAGCGCGCGTTCCTCTCTCGCCTGCCTCCGTTCCTTGGCGATCGCGCTCTCGCGGGAGATCTGCTCGCTGATCCAGGTGCTGAGCTCTGGCGGCACCATGAGCCCGCGGTTGTGGCCGTGCCCGTGGAGTAGTAGCGTTCGTCCCGATGGGCGTCGTCGCCGAGCCTCGTTCCCAGGATATCGTCGCGGTAGCGCTCCTCGCACAGCTGCAACTGGCGCGCCACCAATTCCAGCGCTCCGAGGTTGCTGATGTCCAGCTGGTCATAGCACAGCGCCTCCTCGAAGATCTTGCTGAACTCCGAGTGCGTCGATACCGTGATGTCATCCAAAGAGAGCCTGATGTTTGACCGCCATTGAACATGATGACCGAGAGCGCTACCGCCATTTTCCAACATGAAACACGCCACCCAGGCCACGGTCCGAGGCCCGGGAACGGGCCAGTCCGCCCACTGCGATGGGGCCAGGATGGCGACCGCATCCGCGAAAGGACCTGCGGCTCTTACCGTTCGCCTCGCAGAGGACGGCCAGCGTCCTGCAGTCGGCACCGTCAGACGCGACTCCAGCAGCAGGCCCCTGAGCGACGCCACCTCCGTCGGCTCCCGCGAGGGCCGCCGCAAGTCCCGCGTGCCCAGGGCCAGGAGCTGCGGGCTGAGCGGCCGCTGCGGCTGCGCCGCCGTCAACCGGGGCGGCCGCCGCGGGACCCGCGACCGCCATGGGCGCGCCGGCCACAGCGCCGCCGGCCGCGGCCGCCACGGTCGCCGCGCCAGCAGGCACAGCGGCGCCGGCCCCGCCGACAGCTGCTCCGCCACCGCCTCCAAGAACGGCCGCCAGGCCCCCACCAGGTCCTCCGACCACTCCGAATCCTCCGCCTCCACCCCCTCCCGGCGCAGCGGGCGCCGCCGCGGCTGCGGCTCCCGCGGCCAGCTGGGCGTCGTGGTCGGCAATGAGGCGGTCGGCCTCCAGCGCGAAGCCGAAGAACTCCTGGGCCGTGAGGGCGGGCTGGAAGTCATAGATCGTTTGGCCCGCCGCAGCGGGAGGAATGACCCCTCCTGGCCCGCACCGATGCCACGATGCGATGTCCGAGTTGTCAACGGTGAAGTGCTCCACGAACAGGTCATGGTCGGGCGAGACCACCACCGCGTGGAGGGCTGGACGGCACTGACACGCACCACAACCCGACATTGAAGCAACACAGGACCAGGAACAGCGTACGCCACCAGCACCTCATCGCCAATGTTCATCAGGTGTCAGCACGCGACCACGGCCTCGAGGCACACGACGTTCGAGAGCGTCCTCCAGCGCAGGTGGCACTGCCTCCACAAGACGAGGCTCCCACACCGAGCTCCAGAGGCCGCTGGTCGTGCGGCGCGCCAGGCCGCTGGCCGCGGCCGCACAAGTGGTGAAGACCTCCCAGACCAGCAGCGCGAGCAGCCCAAAGCCGAGTTCGCTGCCCCAGGACACTCGCCCCGCCTCTGGCTCGGGGCAAGCTGGACAGGGGTCTGGGCAGAAGTCCAGGCTGAGCGGGGCCGGCGCGGGCCCGCACCGAGCCAAGGCCGCGCAGAGGTCCTCGACCTGCGCGACGGGCGGCGGCGCGGCCGCTGGGCAACCTCGCTCACGCGAGGCCAGGGCGGGCGCCGGCCGCGGCGCCTCGGCAGCCGCCGGCGGCGGCGGCGGCGGTGGGCGGGAGCCGCCCAGCACGGCGCTGGCGTGGAGCGCGACCAGCGTCACGCCGCGGGCCACCGGGCGCATGCGCGGGCCCGCGCGCAGGCCTCCTGAGGCCTACACAGAAAAGGCTTGAGCCGTGGCGGTTGCAGACCGCACGGCCCTCCATCGCTCTACGATTACTGTTCGAGAACCCCCCATCATCAGCAGCATCATCATCAGCATCGTCGTCGTCATCATCAGCATCAGCAGCATCACTATCATCATCGTCACAATCGTCAATCAGCATCAGCATCAGCATCAACATCAGCATCATCGTCAGCAGCATCAGCAGCATAAACGACACCACCATCACCATCAGCACCATCATCATCACCATCACCACCACCAACAAGCATCAACATCAACATCAGCAACATCGTCATCACCATCATCATCACCATGAGCATCATCAGCAGCATCAGCATCAGCAGCAGCATCAGCAGCAGCATCATCACTACCATCAGCAGCAGCATGATCGTCATCATCAGCAACAACATCATCAGCATAATCGCTGTCGTCATCATCATCAGCAGCAGCATCAGCAGCAGCAGCGCAACCACCACCACCACCACCACCATCCCAATCATCAGCATCATCAGCATCACCACCGTCACCACAACCATCATCATCACCATCACCATCAATATTATCAGCATCACCATCATAATCATCATCATCATCATCATCATCAGCATCAGCATCATCATCATCATCATCATCATCATCATCATCATCGTCATCATCATCATCATCATCATCAGCATCATCAGCATCAGCATCAGCATCATCATCATCATCATCATCATCAGCATCATCATCATCATCAACCTCAGCATCAACATCAACAGCCACATCAACATCAACAGCATCACCATCCTCTTCCCCCTCCCGATCTCCATCCCCCTCCTCCACCTCCTCCCCCTCCTCCCCCTGCTCCCCCTCCTCCCCCTCCTCCGCCTCTTCCTCCTCATCCTCCTCCTCCCTCTCCGCCTCCTCCTCCTCCTCCCCCTCCTCCTCCCCCTCCTCGTTGACCTCGTTGACCCCAGCGGCGCATGGTCATCCACACGGCAGCCTACACGACACCACCTACAGTCGTCAAATGGGAACAACAAAATAAGAGGGGGGAGAGGCAGAGGGGACGGGGAAAGAGGAGAGCGAAGAGAGGAGACAAACCTGGCCCAGACACGTATCCCGAAGAAGTTTTAACCGCTGCGGCGACCGCCTGGTGCTCAAACACGGTTAGAGGAGCGTGCCAGATCTCGACGACTCGTACAGGCCACACGGGGCACAAAAAACAAGAGACACTAGATCCCACACCCATCGTCCAGTAGAGATTATCGCCGCTGACCTTCCACCCTCCACCTCCTCCTCCTCCTCCTCCTCCTCCTCCTCCTCCTCCTCTTCCTCCTCTTCCTCCTCATCGTCCCTCCTCCCTCCTCCGTCCTCCTCCGAGCCTGCTCCCTCCTCCCTCCTCCCTCCTCCTTCCTCCTCCTACTCATCCTCCTCCTCCTCCGGATCCCGCATCTGCACGCAGCGTGACCTTGTGCGTATCGACCGCATGGGCAATCCCGCACCTCTCATTGGCCACCCGACATGACTGCTGAGAAAAAAAGTGAGACTAAGGGACCGGAAGAGAAAGGAACCACTGCCGCTCTTGAAACTCGCCGTGGAGTCGAAAGATACGGCGTCCGTCTGGGCGCCCCCTTGATGGTTGCCGCACACTGCGGAGGCCTAAGACGGAAACCCCCCCAAAAAAACAGGATTCAACCGTGAGCCAAAATGACTACGGAATCCTCCTCCTCCTCCTCCGCGTCCTCCCCCTTCTCCTCCTCCTCCTCATCCTCCTCCTCCTCGTCCTCATCCTCATCCTCATCCTCATCTTCATCCTCCTATTCTCCTCTGATCCTCCTCCTCCTCCTCCTCCTCCTCCTCCTCCTCCTCCTCCTCCTCCTCCTCCTCCTCCTCCTCCTCCTCCTCCTCCCCCTCCCCCTCTCCCTCCCCCTCATCCTCCTCCTCCTCCTCCTGCTCCTCCTCATCATCCTCCTCATCCCGCTCACCCTCCGCCTCCCCAGTCGTACACAGCCCAGCCCCTCCCCCTGCTGGAGGAGGCGGCGACGGCGACGCGTGCGCGTCCCCGCCTGGTTGGACCCGGTGTCCACCAGGAAGCGCGCGGGCCTGCGCGGGCTTGGAGGCGGCGGCCGTCCCAGCGACGGGCGACGGCGACGAGGCCGGCGACGACGGCGCCGACGACGGCGGCGACACAGACGATGGTGCCGTTGTCGGTGGCGCCGGCGACTCGACGGCGACGGGGGAGGAGAAGGGGACGATCAGGATTTGGCTCGGGCACGAAGGGGAGGAGCAGGAGGACCAGGCCTGGGCACCACGGAGGGGAGCAGGAGACAGAGGATGTGGGAGGGAGCGAGGAGGACGGCGAGGAAGGAGGGGGAGGGGGACGAGGGCGAGGACAGGGCGGCACAGAAGCAGGAGAGCGAGGGCGGGGGGAGGAGCGAAGACAGAGAGAGGAGGGAGGATGGAGGCGGGCGGCGACAAAGGTGAAGGCGGGGGAAGGAGGGGAGGGAGGCGAGAGGAGCTGGGAGGGTTAGTCGGTGTCGCCGAGTGGCCGCCGGCGGGCGCCGCCTGGGCGCCTCACGGGCGCCTCGCGGGCACCGCGTCCGCTGGCTGCACCACGTAGCTTCCACCAGAATGCACCACACAGATTGCACCGCATAGACCCCCTGCTCGAAGGAATGCTAGCCAGCGCGCACCCCATACAGTGGCAGCTTGCACTCTGCATGTCCGAGGTGTGTAGCGCAAGCTGGGTGTTGCAAGCTACGTGGTGCAAGCTATGTGGTGCAGGCGATGTGGTAAGGGCGATGTGGTGCAAGCTAGCAGGTCGTGTGGAGCAATATGTGTGCGTGTGAGTGTGCTGCAAACTCTGTGCGCTGTGAGCTGTGTGGTGCAAGCTGTGGGGTGCAGGCTATGTGGTGCATGCTGCGTGGTCCTAGCTGTCCCTTGCAAGCTGAGTGGCGCAGGCTGTTTGGTGTGAACTGCATGGTACAAACTATGCGGCGCGGCGACGGGGGCCGCCTGGCTCGCAGACAGGCCCTGCACCGGGAAAGCAGGGCTGCCGACGGACGGGAACGGAGCCGTTGGGCGCGCCAACGGGCACAGCTCCTCGGAGGGGAAGCAACAACCCCTAAGTGCAAGCATTGCTTGGGGAAGGATGAACTCTACCACTCCCCTCGCCCGGGAGAATACCGGCTCCACTGAGGGGCTACTTGCCCTGGCACTGACGAGCGGCATGCCGCACCTGAAGCAGAACTGGGCCTCCCAATGTGTTGGTGGAAGCATGTGTGCAACACGTGTGCCTCATTACGAATACTCAAAAAATGAAAAACATATATACATATGTCAATAGACTACGACTACGACTACGACTACGTCAACGCTTACGCCTACGAGTACGACTACGACTACGACTACGACTAACACTCTTACTACTACGTATACTTATACTTATGTATATACTTCTACTGCCACTATTACTACCACTACCACTACTACTACGACCACTACCACTACTACTACTACTACTACTACTACTACTACTACTACTACTACTACTACTACGACTACGACTACGACTACGACTACGACTACTCCTACTCCTACTCCTACTCCTACTCCTACTCCTACTCCTACTCCTACTCCTACACTACTACTACTACGACGACTACTACTACTACTACTACTACGACGACGACGACGACGACTACTACTACTACTACTACTACTACTACAAATACTGCGACGACTACTACTACTACTACTACTACTACTACTACGACGACGACGACGACGACGACGACGACGACGACGACGACGACGACGACGACGACGACGACGACGACGACGACGACGACGACGACGACGAACGACGATACGACGACGACGACGATGACGACGACGACGACGACGACGACGACGACGACTACTAA